ATTAAAAACAATGTATCTTTTGTCAACCATATCCATTTTGTATATAAATGTTCACATTTCATTCATGTCATTTCATTCATTCCATTTCACTTAAATTAAATAAACGGGAAGAAAACTATTGATCAAAATAGTTGCATAAAGGTGCTAAAATAGTTGGATAAAGGTGCTAAAATAGTTGGATAAAGGTGCTAAAATAGTTGGATAAAGGTGCTAAAATAGTTGGATAAAGGTGCTAAAATAGTTGCATACAGATGCTATAATAGTTGCATACAGATGCTATATAATACAAATAGTTGCATACAGATGCTAAATAGTTGCATACAGATGCTACTTGCATACAGATGCTAGCATATGCTTGCATACAACTTGCATACGATGCTGCATACAGATGCTAAAATACTTGCATACATGATACTTGCATACAGATGCTAAAATACTTGCATACAGATGCTAAAATACTTGCATACAGATGCTAGCATACATGCTAAACTTGATATAAATACTTGCATACAGATAAAATACTTGCATACAGATGCTAAAATAATTGCATACAGCTAAAATATACAGATGCTAAATACTTGCATACAGATGCTAAAATATATGCTTAAAATAGTTGCATACAGATGCTAAAATACTTGCATACAGATGCTAAAATATTGCATACAGATGCTAAATAATTGCTACAGCTAAAATGTATACAGGTGCTAAAATACTTGCATACAGATGCTAAAATACTTGGATACAGATGCTAAAATACTTGCATACAGATGCTAAAATACTTGCATACAGATGCTAAAATACTTGCATACAGCTAAAATAGTTGGATATGCTAAAAATAGTTGCTACAGATGCTAAAATAGTTGCATACAGATGCTAAAATACTTGCATACAGATGCTAAAATATTGCATACAGCTCTAAAATAGTTGCATACAGATGCTAAAATGATTTCATTCTAACTCCTTATTCACCTCGAACCTACTCTGCCCCCCCCTCCATATACTTATCCTTTCCCCTCTTATCCTCCTCTCTCCTCCTGTCCTCCCTAACCCCCACTTGACCCCTCCTTCGCCTCTCCTTCTTATCCTCCTTTTTTACTATCCTTCACCCCTCCTGATTCATCCTTCGCCCCTCCCTCTAACCCTCCGACCCTCCCATGCCTCCCGACCCCCCTCGTGGTTTTAATAGCGGATGAGGGCGAGGACACTGGAGGAGGAGGCGAGGAGATGCAGCTTCTTTGGGCGCCCTGGTGATCGTCGCGCTCCGGAGGTTCCCAGGCGGACGATGCGCGGCGAAAAAGCGGAGATGTGATGCCGAAGGATTTGTTCCGTCCGCGACAGCTGTCCTGCGGGGTCCGTCTCCTTCTACCGTCTCTTGGGGGCGTGCAGGTGTGGCTTTGAGGGGGTGGGGTAGGGCAGGCGGGCGGAGGGGGAGAAGGAGGGCGGAAGGGAGGAGGAGGACGGGGTGCTGCGGGTGTTGGCAGAGGAGGGGGGGGGGGGGCATGAGATCGAGTGGCCCAACGGTACTGTGAGAAGAAGCAGGAAGGTGTCGCTGTGCTTCTGCTGGGGGCCGTCGACGCGCCTGGTCTCACGTCCGCAAGCGCGTCTCGAATACGGACTCTTGGCTAGTTCATTCATTTTTTTCCTCTAAGACTCTTGCTATTTATAACCCTTGTTTGGAAATGCGTAGGAGTATTCTCATTAAGTTGCAAAATTGCCCCATTTCTCGTGCGTTCTAATGGGTACGTATGCAGTAATACGCTCTTTTTTTTATACGCTGCAAAATGCATATTCACATAACATCCAGCAACTATGGACTGGCGTATGGCGAGTTGGACTCAAATTACAGACACTCACCCCAACCCCTTTTATCCAGAGACAAAGATCTGGCTTACCATACCCATCCATCCATCCGCACACACACACACGCTCTCTCAGGGAGGGGCAGGGAGAGGAAAAACACACACACACCAACTCTCACACTCTCCCTCACACACACACACACACATTCCAACACACAGAGCCAGGTTTTATGCTGTTAACACAGACAAACAAGACACCAGAAACGCAGTATGTGATCGTATCCAACTGTGCCTGCAAGTGCCATCAACGGGGGGCGAGTTGGTCGGCGCGGTGAGTGGGAGTGCCCATCCGTGCCAAGGGCTCCAGTTACGGGCACGCTGACGAAGGCGCAGGACTCATTAGCATTCTTGATGTTATTATCGTCTGATGGTATTGTTATGATTGTTAGACTGAGTATTGTGATAAGCAATGTCATTACCATTTGTATTGATATAGTAATACTGCTCCTACTGTCATATTCAGTACTATTGTCATTATTATTATTATGGTCCTCATTATTATTATCATTATTGTATTGTTATCATCATTTTTATCATCATTATTATCATTATTGTTATCACTATCATTATTATCATGATAATTATCGCTTATTATCATTATCATTTTCATTACATAATTTTATATCATTAATGCTGTTATCATATATTATTACTATAATTATTATATATCATATTATCATTATCATCATATTTTATGTTAGAATTCTCATTTCATCATCATCACTATATCATCTTGATTGTTTAATACCATAACAATAACAATCATCATTCCTATCATCCATTTATCCTTACAATGGACACGTTTTATTGCATCGCCAAAAACTTATCTAATTACAAAAGACTGCAACTATATCGACACTAAAATTCGCTTACACCTGTCATTCAATAAATATGATATAAAACATCAATAAAATTGCACTCACAAACCGTTTATTCCCTTGCTCTAACAATACAGTTAACAGCAAAAATGGGAAGACTAGATGCAAAGTAACGATCTGATTCACATGATAACAAATCGGTGCATTCGGAATGTGACATTATGTTTTTTTTTTCTTCTTTCTTTTTTTTTTTTGGGGGGGGGGCAACAGCTGCTGAAAACAATAACAAATCAGTAAAAAATAAAATAATAAATAATAATAAATTTTCTTTTAGCGTGAGAAATGTATTTAGAAACTGATGTATATGATGGTAATTGGTAGGAAGACCAAAAAATGGAAAAAATTATGTGGAATATTGATATATATTTCAGTTTGAGATACACATTAACAGATAGATGTAACGATGAGTAACATTCAGGGTTTTTTAAAAAGAGGCGGATGTTGTAAGACATAAGTTTCTGACGTATACGAAAAACTTCTAGATTTAGGTTTAATTACGGTTTAACTCTCTCTCTCTCTCTTGTACACACACACACACAAATATATATATAATATATATATATATATATATATATATATATATATATATATATATATTATATATAATATATATATATATATAAAAACATGCATCCAAACACCCACACACGTATTGACCCACATCCATCTTAACAAATTAATCCTCGCTGCATGACTCATCTTTACCAACGAACAAGAGAAAAAAAAAACTCACATACAAGTAATTTGTTTTGCCTCGTCTAACGTTACGCATTTCATCGCATACCAACGGCCCTCGAGGATATTCCGCGAGGCGTTTTTTCCGTTCTCGATGACTTTTGTTATCTGGAGAGAATCAGAAACTTCCGCTCTTTCTGCTCTTCTCTTCTTTTTCTCTTCTTTCTTTCTTTTTTTTCTTTTGGTTCTTCTCTTTTCTTTTATTGTTTTTATTTCTCTATTTTTTTTATTTGGTTTTGTTTTTTCTTCTTTCGATTTCTTCTTATTTCTTTTATTTCCTTCGTTTGTTTGTATTCTCCTCCTCTTCATCTTATTCTCTTCCTTCTCCAATTTCTTGTTCTCCTACTCCTCCTTCCTTTTCTCCATACTCCACTCTCTTTTTTTTCTCATCCTTTCCCTCCTCTTCATCCTCTTATCCTCCCCCTCTTCTCTCTCTTGCTTTCATGCTTTTCCCATCTTCCTCTTTCTTTTTCTTCTTCTTCCTCTAAAAAATCGTTATTCTTTTTCCTTTCCTCATCCTCATCCTTCTTTTCCTTTCCATTCTTCTTCATTTTTTCCTTTCTTCCCCTCCTCCCTCTTCTTCTCCTTCTTCATCTTTTTCTTTTCTGTTTCTTCTTCCTCTTCTCTTTTCTTTCTCTTCTCCTCTCCTCTTCAAGCTTTTCTTCTTCCTTTCTTTTCTGTCGTTTTCCTCTTCTACTTCTTTTCTTTTTCTTCTTCTTCTCCTCCTCTCCTTCTTCTTCTTCCTCTTCCTCCTCCTATTTCTATTCCTCCCACCAACCTCCCCCCACCTCCTCCACCTCCACCTCCACTTCCTCCTCCTCTCTCCTCTTTCCTCCACCTCCATCTCTCTCTCCTCCACCCACTCCTCTCCTCTTCCACATCCTCCCCTCTCCACTCTCTCCTCCTCCTCCTCCCTCCTCCCCTACCTCCTTCCTCCCCCCCTCTCCCTCCCTCCTCCTCCTCCTCCTCCACCTCCCCCCACTCCACCACCTCCTCCCCTTCCTCCTCCACCTCCTCCTCACCTCCCCTCCCTCCTCAGACACACCAATGCAATAAATCAAACAGCATTGTAGTCGGGAAGCTATTAAGTCATGTTGGGCCGTTGGGGGAGGAGGAGGGGGGTGAGAAATGGGGAAGAGGGAGGAAATGACGATAAAGGGAAAGGGAGGAATAAAAGAAAGAGAGGGATATTAGGGAGATGGGGGTGGAGAGTTAGGAGGAGAAGGAGAGTAAGGAGGCGGAGGAAGAGGAGAATGAGAAGGTGGAGGTGAAGAATGGAGATGGAGGAGGAGAGTTAGGAGGAAGGGGTAGAGTGGGAGGGAGAGGAGGAGGAGAAGAAGAAGAAGTAAAGGGAGAGAAAAAAAGGAGAAGGAGGTGAACGATGAGGAGAGGAGGAACAAGGAGAAGAATAGGTGAAGGAGGAGGTGGTGGAGAAGGAGAAGGAGAAGGAGAAGATGAAGAAGAAGCAGAAGGGGGAGAGAACGGAGATATGGAGATATGGAAAAAAAAAGGGGAAATTGGGACAAGG